CTCCAAAAAGTGCATTCGAACAAATACTTTCGAAGGAATAGTACGTATTTAGAAAAACACTTAAATTGAGAAATGTATCGTCTGAATATTTCCAGAAAGTAGGCTAAAAGCATTGCAAATAGAAAGCGTACTGGCATTTAATATAGATCTCGATTGGTTCATACATTTAAGAGGAATTAATAATTAGCAAAGAATGCCAAGAAATCAAAAGCATGCGCATTATAAATAACAACCATGGGGACGTTGGGTTTGCGCTGGAGTTAAAGAATAAACCTGTGCAATCGCAAAGGAAAGAATCACTGGACAGAGCATAAAGTTTTAGCTTCATTATAGCCCCGTTCTTAATAATAAGTTGAAATATACAAAGGCAGTAAAATAATGGGATATCCTCTGGACAACTTGAGACGTTCTGCATAGACAAATTAATAAGCCATTCTGATGTGTTGAATGATTTCAAATATAGCTACAAAGTATAAACAAGCTTATGGGATACCTGAACCACACACGGCAAATACGATAAGCCCGAGTATCCATGCGTTCACATTAGACTGTTCCTCTTGGGATTTCTGTAGATAAAAATAAATAGCCAAGCCTACCAAAGACTTAGGTACATTACCCCTATTAAGAATATTGCCTCTAGCTTTTGAATTTTGCACTTTCATACGCTGTGTTGCAGACATGGGTAAAAAAGAAACTAGAAAAAGGGAGCGAAGGCAGGCGAGACGATACGTAAGCGAATTAGGAGGGCTTTCTAAATTATTATTATAAAGACGCAATTACCAATATGCAGCCGAATCTATTGATATTTTTAATAAAAATTCATTGTTAAAAGGTTAAAACTACTTAAATTTTAGTTATTTTTTAAACATAGTTTGTTTTTATTGTTATATTTTAATTAATAAATATTTTTTAACGTGTAATATCTGTTTTATAATAATTTTGGTTGTCCATAGGCAGCGCAGCATTGGACCATGCACGTGGGTAATGCTTCTCTCTTCAGTGTCTAAACGCAAAAGAGCGGCTGGCGATTTGTTTTCACATTCTTGTGATCTTTCCCCTGATGAGTATATATGCAAGGTTCGCCGAGTATCCTACTCCTTATCTATAATAGCTAACCAAACCCTTAGGCAACTACCTTTTTTGGGGTATAAATTCTGCAAATGAAGAATTAACTATATCCATTCCTCCGAAATACAGAAATACCTTTTATTTTGTACCTGGTCACTATGTCGTTGTAAAAAGCCTTGAAGGAAGTAAAGTAAAAGGCGAAATTACTACCCTTTTATTGGAAAAACAAATTACTCAAATGTGTAGTGACGGGACGTGGTAGGCCCTGGAATTTCTTCCTTTATCATGATTAAA